CCTATTCTTCTCATCAATCCTATTCTTCTCATCAATCCTATCCTTCTCATCAATCCTATTCTTCTCATCAATCCTATCCTTCTCATCAATCCTATTCTTCTCATCAATCCTATCCTTCTCATCAATCCTATCCTTCTCATTACTCTCTTCTCCGTTAATATCCAAGAACGTGTTACCCTCACTTCTCCTAAAAATATCATTCAAAGATCCTAAACTGTTATTCTGCACACTATCAGGTATGCCTGTCATGTGCTTGTAAATTGAAAAGTTTGACCAGTTCGTGTTCACAGAAGATGAGGAGTGTGAAGTAACGGGATGCATGGAAAGTATTTGCTGTTGTGGAATATTGAAGTGCTCGTGTGACTGGATCGGTGTATTTGATGCTGTAGATGCATTTCTCAAGTCTTGGATGGCACCGTACCCGTTGCACTGAATGTTCTGATTCTTGGCAGCGTAATCATCCCCCATGTACTCATTCACGCCTGACATGCTGTCAGTCCTTAGCACACCGGCCCATTCACTGCCCATCACAACACCATCTATCCGTACACCGGGTGCGCTGCCAACACCGTATCGTGCCTGTCCGCGACTCATCAGAATATCATCTCTAAGTGCGCCATCCTCGCATATTCCCTGATTATGCACACCATTCTCCTCTTTTATTCTTTTTATGCATTCGTTGTTCTTTTCTTTGCTGTTCTTGTGCTCTTCGTTGTTGCTGAACATATCTTTTTTTGTTACCCCTCTCGTTTTTAAAATTTTGTACTGTTTAGAGATTGAGGGCAGCTGAAGAATGAGGATGGTTTATTTGCACGGAATGGTTGGTGTTGTTAGCAGTAGAGGTATTGCCTGGTTCAACAGCAGGGGTATTGCCCGATTCATAAGGAGTGCTACAAAGACACTCTCAAGCGCTATTCATGCATTTATTTCTAATACAACTGTAAATGCTGTATGGAGCTGTACCACTATGCATTTCGCATTTTTATGCTACTCTAGAATTAAATACAGTGTTGATAATCAAATTTACAACAGGGCAATGCCCAGAAACACAAACAGTTTATGTACTGCTCTTCACGTGTCATAAGCTTGGCTCTATCTTTTTACGTCGTAGAAGAGCGAAAAGGTCTTTCACTGTATCGCTGCGTGATTCACACCTTGCGCTATCAAACATTACTTCATAATCGTTGTTATTGCTCTGCCATGCATTCTCTAACAGTCACCAAAATCGTTTCATAAAGCAAGATATGTTTATACAAAATACGCAATAAAGCAAAAATTAATAAAATTATTCTTTCATGTGTTTTTCTCTTAAATAAGTTTATTTCATCGCTTTATACGGCCACAACTAAACGAAAACTTTTCTGGATCTGTTCATGTCAACATTAAGCAACATAAATAATAACAAACATTGCTATTTTAGGTATTATCTCGTACTTTCTCACTTAATGCATGAAAATAAGCTTAAATAATTCTAGAATGCTTTTCTTAAAAAAGTATAAATAGGCGTGCTACAAAGTACTCATGATCTTTTTATACATCGTTGTTCTATTGTTCAATGGAACAGTGATAGCATCATCTGAAGATAGTAAAACTAATCCTGAACATTTGATAACCACCGAGGCATTTCGTCCCTTGGATCTATTAACACCCGATATCGAAAGTGTTATAAAGATGGTAGTGAACAATACCAGTGCTGTCGATGAGGAGCTTAAGAAGAGGATATTAGTAAAACTGGAGGAAATGAACTTCGAGACAAATAAAATAACGGATGAAGAGGTGGTGACAATAAGAAGTATTATGGAAAAGAACAAAGATACGTTCTATGATAATTTCATAAATATTTGTACGAATTTGTCACAAGAACCACTTTTAGAGAAGACTTGGGATTTAAGCTTATTGGCTGAAAGAATCCGATCGGGCGTGTACACGTTAGTCGAACAATCGCATGAGCAAAAGCTTGTAAGGTATTCTACATTACTCTTGAATAGGAATTCAGAGATTTTCGAGCTTTTGAAAGGTGTTTTAGAGGACTTTGACAGATTGGGAGATACCGTGTTGCACTTCAACCCTGTAAATGAGAGTGATATAAAAAAGATATCACTAAATAACGAACAACTCGTTGAAAACATTACAAAGATAGTGAATACTATTGCAAACGAATTTATAACTAGTACAATGAACAATACGTCGCGAAAGAATAAACAAATGGTTGAAACGCTTGTAACATACGTAGTTGAACAGAAACAGTACATACTAAATAGGACAGCTACTTTAGTTGAAGAGTTGAGTACTTTGGAAAATGAAGGGGTCGTTAAAACAGTTGCACAAGGAAATTTAGAAATCAAACACCTGATTACCAGAAATATGGATATGCTAACAGATTTGATAAGGAAAATCATTACAGATTTATCTGATGATGCACTGCAAAAGGTAAAAGAAATGATGAACTCTGTAAATAAGGATTTTCTACAGAGAATATTACCAGGTTTTCAGTAAGTGTAATAAGCAGTGGTAGTATGGTGAAGAGAACGTTGTATGCTAATTAAAGTACTTGTATGTTTAGTTATGAGTGTATTTGAGCGGAGTTTGAAGGAGCAAAAATGGTATAAAAGCAAGAATAAAACGAATACCTGGTTTAGACACGTCATTCGTACACGTACTACTTTATTTAGAGTTACAGCAATAGATACGAACCAAAATTAATTTTATTGTACAACAATTGCAGAATAGCTCACGTAATCGAATCATTATTCAGCGATTGCATTTAGTAAACCTAATACATCATCATTGAAAGACATTACTGGGTATCAACGTTTTTGTGATCAAAGAACGTTAATTACCATTTGATAAGTATGCGTTTAAAAAGTGCTTGTAATACCCCTAATAAAGCATTTCAACAAATTGCTGCTTAATACCTCAACTTTATCAAAAACTGTCTTTAATATCTCATATATTCACCAAATTATAGGCATGCTTAACCCAATCAGGCACATCCCCTCCAAACCTTTTCATCATCCATTCCTTTATAAATACGTCCAGCGTACCGTTCTCAATTCCTCTTTTCATCCTACTAATCAGTCCTCTTAGGTAGAACAGATTGTGCTCTGTCATTAATATGCAAAAATTAGGTGTGTTACGTATCATTTTTAGATAATTTATGGAAAAGCGTGTGCAGGTCTGGCATTCGCATCCGTTGTAAACCGCGCCGTTACGAATTACCGTACCGGTGTACGCACGCTTTCTTGTGTGATTGGAAGGGTTCTTTGAATGATTAGCATTTCTTGTATGACTTGAAGGGTCTTTCGAAGAGTTAGCACTCGTTGTACGTTTTAAACCATCATCCACGAACGAATTAACGTTAATATCTCCATAATCCGTAAACATCCTGCCAAACCGAGCAGTACGCGTGGGATACACACAATCCGACATGTCACTGCCCAACATAACACTAACAACGATATCCTCCGGATAACCAACACCCATCACATAAACAGGGCATTCAATCCTTTCCCTGATGTAATTCACCGTGCTAAACACAACGTCACAGAACATCTTTTTATCCTCACCGCCACACAACCCGCCAATAGCAATGCCCTGCGCTCCTCTACGTACGATTTCATCAACACTGAGCATTCTCAGATCGTTGAACAGACCGCCCTGCACGATAGGGAACAGCAGTTGTGTGCTGTTCTGCGTGTGCGCCAAGCACCTGTCCAGCCACCTAATACTTCTCTTCACGGCCGTTAGATGCCTATTTTTGGGTGAGCATGGTCGTATTACATCATCCAGCTGCATGGCAATGTCAGAATTTAGCACGTTTTGTATTGCTATGCTCTTCTCGGGCGTAAGCAGGAAGTGTTTCTGCAATGCTGTGTTGGGTGCACTGCTGAGGTATGCCGTCTTTTGGGTGAGCGTGAATGTACAGCCTGTGCACTTCGTGTTTAAGCAGTACACGTTCCTGCAGTACTGCAGATTATCCACCGCACTACCACCACAGCTGTGATGTGCTTTCTCAGCACCTCCATCATTCTCAGCACCTCCTTCATTCCCAGCACCTCCTTCATTCTCAACACCTCCTTCATTCCCAGCACCTCTATCATTCTCAGCACCTCTATCATTCCCAGCACCTCCATCATTCTCAGCACCTCCATCATTCTCAGCACCTCCATCATTCTCAACATCACTTATCCTCCTGCCATCACAGCTATAATCCAAAAAAACCACACCATCCTCATTCACACTATTTCTCAAACTTATGATCTGAAACCCTCCACTATCAGTGAGCATCCCTCCTTTCACCCCCATAAAATCGTGCAAGTCCCTGTTCAAGTTCCTCAGATGAAACGTATTGCCCAGTATTATTTCATCCTCGTACACATGTTTTGCTTTCAGAATGCCGTGCGTAGCGACCGGCATGAAGGTGGGAAGAGATGCGCTGTGGTGATTGAGGATGAGTGTTGATGTGCGAGCGTTTGTCTTTGTGCACCTTTTTAGTATTTTGAACGGCATGGGGCAGGGCTGTGAGTAAATTAGCACTTAAAACGTGTGGGCGTAGCGTAATTAAACTGGGATGAGGAATGGTACATGACATGAATAGTATGGTAGAATAGCCATTTTACAATTTTTTACTACCGTTTTGATTCCAATGTTTGCTACAGTTCACGTTTATTCCGTGGTGCTGATCAACTCAGCTCACACCACCGACCAACCACCATTTATTCTGCTCCCCGTATCGGAAACGAAACTGAGTGCACCACTCATTAAGATGTTACAGATCGTGGAGTAGGACCGTAGATCGAGTAACCTGTTAGAACCGTTTATCTGCAACAACACGTCACGCACCTCATCCTACGTAATAACCGTACGATCTGTGCATGGTGATAAGCACCATGCACGTAATAACGGGCAGTACAACGTGTTGTAAAGAACCATTCATAGATGGGTAGCTCGTATTGACGTGTTGTTAACGGTTGGGTTTGATGAGTTGTGGTGTACCAGACGGCATGGGGAATGAGAATGAGATCGGAATACGTATGAGAATGAGTAATGGTGCAATGTTCTGTACTTCTGCTCCTTTATTCAACATTAATGAACATCCCTGCACCGTACCGCTTTTGTTCCTCATTTCAACTCATCGTCAATAATAAAAATGATTTGCTGCTATTTCTGTCTTTATGAGTGCTGCAGGGTGATAGATCAATCATTTTTAATGTATTGAACCACTTTGGCACGGATATTTCATTCCTGTCAGGTTTGAGGTAAAGCAGTGCACATCGCTTGACAGCACGTACTAGAATGGAGAGTAGATGAGCGGTGCTGCAAGCATTCACATAAAAATGCTTAAAATAAATTATTTACGATAATGGAGCGGAGCAATGGAGATACTTGATAAGTGTGGTTGAGTTGAGGATTGATGGTTGAGTTGAGGATTGATGGTTGAGTTGAGGATTGGTGGTTGAGTTGAGGATTGATGGTTGAGTTGAGGATTGGTGGTTGAGTTGAGGATTGATGGTTGAGTTGAGGATTGGTGGTTGAGTTGAGGATTGATGGTTGAGTTGAGGATTGGTGGTTGAGTTGAGGATTGATGGTTGTGCCGAATGAGGACGAGCACTTTTTTGTGCGTGATGCTGTGAACTAATACGATTTGTAATAGAAGGTGATAAAATTACGAATTGTAAATTATGATTTGTAACAGGTAAGCATGGTTCTACACTGCTGGTGCGTAGCATAGCTAACCGTTACCGTGTTTTACGAACGGAAATACCACAGCTGGTACAATAACACAACAACATTGCAAACAGTGACCAGAACTGAAGTACACACGAGCAGTGATACGTTCGTTAGTCCGCAGAGGATGAAACTCTTGTTCTGTGCTGCAACTTCGTTCTAAGCAACTGTTTTAGTGGAACTGAGGTGTTAAGCAAATTGAATTGAGTGTGACACGGGCAGAGCCTTGTAGGTGATGTAGGACGGTGAATACTGCGTGCTGGATCGTTGATTGGAAATGAACGGGTGATGCGCTGTGTTAACGTACGGTGGGGTGCACGTTTTTTACGGCTGGGCCGTGGACTTCTTTTGCATGTGCACGGCACGGCCCCTTTTCAGTGCTTGCTGTTTTGGCCGTTGCACGATGAGGTGCTGGGCAATCAAAGGCTGATCATTCACCAGGAGTGATAAACTGCACCGGTGATCGCACGTGTTCGTTGCACGATGAGGTGCTGCAACGTAATCTGTGCGGCAGATCCTTGCAACTACGCCCATAACAGAACGTGTAACCCGTCAAATTAGGTACGCTGTCATAGGCTGCACCAATGAACGCAGACCAGCACACTAAAACAAAACGGCACTCGCACCATTAAAAAGACGCACGATAAAACAGAACGATTGAAATCGATCAAATGAAAAACACATCATCTTTATAAAAGGCGTCTTATCTCGTCCTACATGTTGCTCAGCTTCGTATCATTCATACGCACTTTTATGGACGATTGCGTTGATCTTACAAATCCTTCCCCACCCGTTGACTACCATCCGGGCCTGAAAACGATGAAAGAGGTGGAAAACATCCTAAAAAATGACGGGGATATCACCGCTTCACCGGTCAAGGTGGTAAAGGAGAAGGTGGCTGAGACCGAAGCCATCGATGCAGAAACGGGCGAAACCGTTTCAATACTGGAGAACGTGGGCGACAAAACGGGAGACTTCCTAAAGAACGTGGGTAGCAAACTCAAAACTGCCAAGGACGATTTGGAACAGAACGTGAATTCAACCATAAAGAACGTGATTGACGATGCCGCTGACAAAGTAACAAAGGTAAGGGATGAGTATGCGAAGAAGACCGAGGAGCTGGGTGAGAAGGCCAAGGATATGATCGATAAGGAGGTGCTCAGCAAGCTGAACGAGGGTGAAATCACGAAGAACTTGGAGGAAAGGGAGGATGAGGCGTTGGGCGGCATCAAAGGGGTGATTGACAGGGCGGATGAGCTGCTCAACAGGAAGTTGAAGGAAAGCGAGCACGTGGTCGAGAAGAGGAGCACGGATGCGGGGGGAGAGGTGACCACCGATACGGTGAAGGTTACCCATCCGGATGGAACATTCTCGGAGACCGTAAAGGTGAAACACCCGGATGAACACACGGTGGTTACGGCCAGTGATGAGACAGGCGCAGCTCACACCGACACGGTTATTACGTCATCGGACAAAGGCACGTCAATCGAAAAGACATCAGTTGATAAAACGTTATCTGACACGACTGCACCGGATAAGACCTCATCAGAAAAAACACAGTCAGATAAGAAATCATCGGACAAACCAAAGGAAACAATCGAGAAGCGGAAGGAGACCCTGCCAGACGGTACCAAGGCAACCACCGAGATACATAAAAAGGAAGAACAGCCCAAAGAAACAACCACGGCCGTGAATGGCGTGCACACCGATACGCTTCTTGATAAATTGCAGGCATTGAGGGACAAGTTCAAGAAACACGCCGACCTGGACGTGAAGATGAATAGCGTTGGTGATGATGTTTATTATCCTAAGATTGACACCCTGGTCTATGAGCTGGCAGGAATTGAAAGGGATATGGAGAAGATGCGGGGCGGTTAAATAAACGTGTAATTATAGGAGGTGGACGTGCCTGTGCGTATGGTGATCCGTGTTAAAGGTGTTGTTCAGGGAACGGCAGTCTTCCAGCAGGGGGCCCTGGCACCGCATCATCAGGTCCGTTTTTGGTACCGAGTGCAACGCAGACAAGCATCGTAGTGCGCACGATGCGACCATTAACGGCCATCAGAGTACCTGGCAACCAAAATTTTAGCAAAACACCGAACAGCCCTTCACGTAAATCCTGCGATCAATCATTCAACCTTTTCTTACGTTTCAACCAAAACGTCAGGAATAGAAAATTTCTTACGGGCCCACCAAGCTCATAACACAGCTCTCGGTTCACGCGCAGCCACACAAGAGCGACGAATCGTAACAAACGACTGTGTTCCTTCCAAAGCACCAACACGTGTGTGCACCATTACTGTTGGAGAACCACGCCCGTTTGATGCTGACGCACTCTGCACCTAAAAGTAATTTTAGTTCTTCAAGAGAAACAGGCACACCGGCTGCAGAGGCACAGCTGTAAAGAGACGTATCACGGTCCTATGAGAACATTCCCTGGATATGTTCAGGACCGCACCACCCGGTTGAGATTGACGAACGGTACGCTTGAAAGACCCTCATAATTTAACATCATTCTCTCTACAAGTGCTTTTATTGGCCACGTCCTTTGTTCGGCACGAATACATGCGCGTTACCGGGACACGCCAACGAATGCTCCTGATCACCACAGCCCCACCAAACACACGTTTCACTCACTGAAAGGTCCTCTTGCTAAACAAATCAAGCGTAACATGTGCTAACAGGGCAGGCACACTCCGTCCCTTCACCACGTACGTCTCTATCTCCCTCTTGTACCCCTCCGCAAAATGGTTGTTCACCATTTCGTAGCAGCTGCCATTGACATTGAACGAGAACACATCGCTCCTGTCAAACGAGTACAGCGAGTGCAGGTGCACGGCATCATCGATCATATCAACCTTGAAACCGAGCAGACCCGTTATGTTCGTGCGAAAGTCCTTCAGGATGGCCTTGTAGTGGTCGTTCAACTGCTTTATTTCCTCTTGGTGCGCACCCGTCGTGCACCCTGCACCAGCCCTGTCCCACACCAGCTTTTCTTTTTCCAGCCTATCTATCCTCTCGATCAGAAAGGCGTTGTTCTCGTTCTCTTTGTGGTCGTGCACCGCTCTGCCTGTCTCTCCATTCTTTGACAGCTCGTGTTCAAGCGCTGCTATCCTCAATTTGAGCGTGCTATTCTCTTTCAGAAGATCAACGTATTTTTTGTACAGCTCGTCCATGAGGGGTGCAAAATTTTAAATTTTAAGGTATGACCCTGGGAACACGGCCGGTAATGACCAACCGGTGGGGCATGACGAGGAACATCGCAATGGGGCGATACGGTCCCTAAATGTGTAAGTGCGGCTGATGGCAAGGGTATTGGATGGTGTACCCTATAATTGCATTGTTCTGCCCTCAGTCATTTGGCTGCACCTCCAACCGCAGCCATGGCAACCGCACGAACAGAACAACAAATCAAAATAACGGTAAAATGGAGGTGCTGACCCGAGCACATTCCTTGACAGGTATTGTGAAGACCAGCATTCGTTAGAACATAAACCGTTGATCGCACGCTGCGCATCCCTACAGCAACCAAGCCCTACGTTTTTATGCCGTGCACGGCAGTATGATCTTAAGACTGGGAGCAGGTACCGCAATGATTTGCATCGTGTAAACCACCCGTACCCAGCAAACGTGCCGGTGCACCTCTCGGGAGAAATTCACAAAACGAAGGGATCATCGGGATGAAGCAGTACCTACGGAATAAATGACCGGCAAGCGGTCCTTAAAAAATATGAAAACATTTATTCACGGTGCTACGTGCTTGATCAGCACCCGTATTGGAAATGAACAGCGATGCACCAAGAGAGCAACGCACACCTCCGCGTTATAAACAAGAAAAGAAAAACGAACTGTGCATAAACACCGAGGAGAAGCTCCGCTGCAACGAGGAGTGCGGCCATACCGTGTCCTTAAAACGAGAAGGACCCTGCACACGGCCCAATACCCCATCGCACCACGACTTACGAAGGGCTCAAAGAGCGGAGTTACTTGAAAACGTTTTTATAATCATCACAACTTCTCATACCCTGCATCGATCTTCTCACCTGCCATGTACCGCTTCATCTGTGCATCCATCACTTCGATCGTGGGAATTTTTTCTCTGCTACCACCTCTTCTAAAAGATCCTCTGCTACCATGCCTGTCAAACATGCGCTCGGGCCTGTCATACGGCCTTTCCCTGCTCCTGTCGTACAACCTGTCATCGTACCTTCTCCTGTAAGAGCGCTCCTCGTATCCGCCGGTACCTCCCTCGGGCAGATACCGTGCACGCACCGATTCGCGTGCACCGCTGTACAAGGGCCTGCGGGGATACCCGTACCGCGTGCGGAAGTACTCGTCGCGCGGATAATTGCTGTGGCGGTGCTCGCGATGTTCTAGATTTCGTTCTTGTTTGCGTGTTGTCATTTGCTGGGCTTGTTCTGTTTTTTGGGTGGGGGTCGTTTTAAATTATTTATGAAATGTTTTAGTTTTTGCGATGAAACGTGGAGGAGTATGAAATATGGGCGTGATACGGTGCTGCTTGAATAAATGAGGTACATCGTTAGCGTGGAGGAGTACGAAATATGGGCGTGATACGGTGCTGCTTGAATAAATGAGGTACATCGTTAGCGTGGAGGAGTACCGTGAAATAACAGCGCCATGAAATAATATGTCTTACATTGAGCAGAGAGCACAAAAAACTGGCAATAAGAACGGTGTTGAGGAAATAACACGAACATAGCACTGAACAAATGGTATTAGAACCGATACACGGGGTAGACCAACGTAGCAATCAAAACCACGAAAGAATCTTTGAAGGTAAATAACAAAACGTAAAAAAAGAAGGACGCGGTTGAGTTGTTTACCACGTTAAATTGCAAACTACGGATGAACACGCTCACGCGCACTTTGATTGATCAAAGCTGCATGATGCGGTATGTCTGAACAAGCGGGCCTTTAACACCTTTTAGCAAATCAAAACGTGGTGCTACGGATTATCACAGTGAAGAGGACGTTGCTTAGCCACGATGTAACATTGATAACAATTTTTAAGATTTTACACCTGAGATTAAGCACAACATGTACGAACAGAGATGGGTTGTATACGAGTAACAATCACTAGACGTACTCCTTTGATCAAATCATTACGTACTAGCGAATGCTGTTACCTCATCATGTCAGCATCAAAGAATATTGTCCTTACCAGCGGTATGACCTGTCGTGTTGCATGCACCGTGCTATTACAGGCGTGGTGAGCGGGCAGTTTTGCTCACTCTTCGTTTATAACGGAGAACCTTGTAAAATTAAGAAATTTGCTTGTTATGTCGTCTATTCCTACTGCTGATAAGGAGGTGCTACGATGGGCTAAAACACTAGCAGTTCTGACTTGAGGAGTAAAACAATGATTGGACCAAAAAATGAAAGAAGGGTAAACCGTGATTAGCATGTTCATATCAATGATCAGCGTGGTAGATGCTTATCTAACATCATATTTAAACTGCAAATATCCATCAGTGCACAGCGCTTGATTACGTTGATGCCTCCTTTAAATATCAATCATTCATTACAGGGAGTTAAGCAAATTATAGGAGTACAACCGGTGACAGCTGAGAGCATGAACTGTGCATTTCGTATTTTTATGGAAGAAGCTGTAAAAGGAAAGCTTGGCAGATCAAAATTTATGGTTTGACAGGCATCATGAGTATAAAAAGGTGAACGGAGTGTTGATCAATGGAAAAAAGAGTAACAATCGCGATTATAGTGCCATGTGCTATTGTTCTGCTGCTAGTTATACTCCTGCTCGTAGCTTACTCAATGCTACGGAATGTTGACAAGAAGTACCAAGCACGGATTCACAAGGAAGTGAATGGATCGGCTAAGCTACAGAACGAGTTTCTGAAGGATGGTCGTGCGAGAGAATATTTGCTGGCTATCACGGGTAGCAACATCGATAACAATGAAGTACTGGGATTAATGATGGAAATACTTGGTGCTGATGCTTCGGGGTTGATAGAAGAGCTGGATAAGCACAAACAGGCTGAACTAGATTACGATAAGCATAAAGATCTGCACGGTACCGGTTCGCTGCAACGTTGCACGAATTGGATCGCGTACAACACCTTGAAGAAGCACAAAATGCTTTGCAACACGAACATTCTGGTGAAAGTGGCTGCTAAAATATTTCGTAATTTCCCGATTTGCATCATTAATCGGCAGATAAGCTTTTTCAATCGCTCATCTCCTAAATGTCAGAGAAACGTATTTATTGCCGTTTCGAGAAACAATGCGCATAAAATTTATCAATTGCATGTCGATGATGCTAAAAAGACGCTAGAGGTGGAGGATAAACTGAGTGTCACGGTAAAAGAGGACGAAAATCTTGCCGTGGCCTATGGATTAATATCTGTGTTGCGCGCTTCATCAACCTAGCAATTCTTGAGCAGGTGCTTATTTGCCGTACTCAATTAAAATAGTTTGGGCAAAATTACACGATAGCAATATTTTTTAAGGCATCGATAGCCGGTGCTTTTGTTCATTCAGAACCAGCACATGCACCCTCTTCCTTTTAGCTTACTTCTTGAGATTGGTCACTGCGGTTTCGTTCCGCTGCCGTGGCAGAAAAGTGATTATTTCCTGTCTTATCCATTTCAAACAGTCGCAGTGAGTTATCTAAAATGCCTATGCAGCATTGCAAATCAAAGCACATCTTCAACTTGTAGAATGGTGTTTGTGAACAAATGGAATTGACGCTCTGCATTTTAACCGTACCTCTGTTGTGCACAGAATACAAGCACAGCATAAAAAGTTTGTTTATAGCATGCGTATGCATCTCTGCACACAACTAAGAAATGTAAAACGTTCCAAACACCTTAGGATGATAATCAAATATTGAAAGGGTTTCTTACACTTTGTCTAAATTATGATTAAGATGGTTAAATGCACACCTTCCACGTTGAATATATCATGAACTGCCAATCTCTGCTACGCGTGATCGCAAATACAACATGGCAGTATCGTAAGTGGCAGCACATCCAATATTTACAGCAAAAATACGAGCTATCTGATACTTTGATGTATATCAATTCATAAATGAACAAAAATACGAGCTATCTGATACTTTGATGTATATCAATTCATAAATGAATGCTATCTTAAATACCCATGATCAAAACTAAATTGCAAGTTTGTTGACTCAGATCATGACAGTCTGCTGCATTATTACCATTGTTTTGGTCAACAAATTTGAAAGTTAGTTTTGGTGCTACCGTACGATAAAATTAACGTGGTGATGGCATAAAATGCTTTTATTCCGCAACAAATCATGCTTTTGCCGCTTTTCACACCTTATCACAAGCAATCAGCTTTCGAGTTGTCTTTTTATTTATATGATAAGAACTTTGAACCTACAGCAATTCATTAAATGTGGTGCTGCACGAAAATGTAGCATTTTTAAGCGTTTCACACGATTTTGCTCATTTTCAAACACCACCAATATTTCGTATTAAATGCGGTGCTGCACGAAAATGTAGCATTTTTAAGCGTTTCACACGATTTTGCTCATTTTCAAACACCACCAATATTTCGTATCTATGGCGGTGTTCTAATGTAACTGCCAATGAGCAGCAACTGATGCATCGCATAATATTCTACAGAACATTTCTAACAGAGCGTGATTTAGCAAAGGAAACAACCAACCGTGAACAGCGCGTGCATTATCGAGTAGCTTTTTACCGCATGCACTGCACAACACCAAAAGTAACTCGAATTGTTGATTGCCACGGTTCATGATTGACATGGCAGTTCATCGGTGAGCTTTAAGCATCCGGGTGCATTAGATAAATTTAAGGGTGATATTTGATTAAATTTATCGCAGCTTCTTCCTTAAATAGCAGCAATGAATACGCCGATAAGCTACCCATTAAAATTAATGTTTTGTGATTGGCATGTTTTACCTTTTTAGAATGACAACTACGTGCGATTAATACTTGATCGATATGCAACATCATACGCTCAGGAAGAACACTTCAATGTGCAATGCCGGTCATCAACACGGCCTGTGCAATGAAGTGTTCTTTCTGAACGTATGATGTTGCATTTACGGCCGTATCACATCTGCACTCTGGAACAATTCATTTCTTGGATACTGCCTTTCTTCATGATCTTTTTAATAGATCAAAAACATGTTCGGTTTCAAGCCTACCTTTTAGCTGTGTATGCGTGCGTATGTGATGCAAATATTTATCCTTTATCTCGCTGTTGTACACTCATTTTTGCTTCCGGCTTCGCGGCTCAAGCCGTCTTTCAAAAAAGTACAGAACAGGACACGTGGTACAACCGTGATCAGAATCGGTGTGCATGCCGATGGTACCGCAATAGTTGCTCTCCGAGCAGCGTTGTCTGTCGAGTTCAGTTCGGATCTCAACGCGCTCAGCACCGTGACCAAGTTCTTTGGCGGCATATTCGACATCATAAACGAGGACATACAAAATCTTGGCATACAGGTACGTGGCGACTTCACAAAGGTTGTTTTGGAGGGCATGCCGTACGACATAACGAAGTGTATAGAGGGCAATCCGGTACTGGCACGAACAAACATAGTTAAAACCGCTTTTACCGCTCAGATGGGCCCGAGAATGGGGAATGACCTGGTGCTACTGTTCTGCCCCGAGCGTGTTATTCTACCGCCCAACAGCGCGCTGCTAAGCAATAGTAGCTGCAGCAACACGGCAGGCGTGATGTACGGCGAGTTGCGTGCCCTGAAAGAGATAATAACAGACACGGTGTACAAAATGATATCGTCTGGTACCAGCCGACCGCTCAACAACACGGCAAACTTTGAGCGGAATGCTCAGAAGTACGTATCGGAATGCATAGGGGGCGAGAAGAACGCGTTTGGCGAGTTTGTACGCGATCTGAAAGCGGTGCGGCACTTGTCGAGCGAGCGGTTTATTCTCGAAAACGGCTCTAAGCTTAAGGAGCATGACTTGATGGATGATGTGTACCTGTTAAAGAACAGAAAACGGATCGTGGGATATCCAACGGAGGACTACTCGAATGATGATGAGCTGTACTCTGATTTTAACAAGGAGTGATCAAACGAGAAGTATTTGTCGCTGTTGTTTCCTACAAATGTTACAACTGCTGATCGGTAGCTTGTCTAGTAAAGTAATTCCTGTTCGTCAAAAATTAATTTTGTAGTCGATTTGAGGCGTAAAAGGTGCCAGCCTTGCTATTAAAAATCAAGTTTTTGACCACATCGGAACAACAGCAGTTGCACCGTAATATTGGAAGAACATGGTTTTAAAAACGATGAAATTGAGGGCACTGTTCCATAACATTGTGAGCACGTAGGACAAAATTACATTGCCGGTTATTTCTTCTTGAGAGTACATTCTTTAGAAATATCTTACCTAGGTGCCTGCAGCAGTGATGGCAGTTTTGTTAGGAAAGACCCTGCAGCAGAAGAAGAGCATGCATTTTTACTGTGAGAGTTATATTTAGCCTACTGCAACAGCTCAGCAGTCATATCGTACCGCAGGTACAAATCGTGAAATATCGCTGTGTAAGGGAACCATACAATAAATTGAAAGAACGTTTTTGGTGTAAATGGTTCACTTTTAGATCAGAATCTCTTTGGCATAAGTGCCCTGCTCAGGCACTGGTTCGTACCATGGTCCCTGTTTGGGCCACAGCACATTCCAGGATTTGTTTTCTTCGCACTTGAGAAGGAAATTCTGTTTAATGTTGATGTGGGGGTTCGTTCAGACATTCAACAGGTTGTGTTTGGCATAGCCCCTCGCCAGATGGAGGAACAGATAACGAATCTTCTCAACATACAGCCCAAGGACATGACTGCACATGTGCACCAGGTGCACTCGCTCATAAACCAGTATGAGTTGCAGTGCTACGGTTCATCTACACCCGATAAAGATTTGATAGCGGGATGGCTGCGAATGCTGAGGGAAAGCATCATCGCTTCAGCACAGAAGGAGGAACCAGTCATCAACCGTAGGGATGATGCTGAGGACAAGCATCTCTTCGATACGTTGTCGCTAATGGTATCGCAAGTGGACACAGCCGACCAGAACATTATGCTACTGAGCGAGAGCAGTGTGAGGTTGAAGAGCCTTTGCTACAACAGCAAAGCCCTGGAGAAAGAGCTGCTTAGCGCAAGAGATGTGATTGCTAGGAGCAAAGTAAACGAGGCAAAAGAAATTAGACGAGTGTGGATAGGAATTGTTGTTTATTTGTGTGTGAGTTTGTACATTCTAATGGGACGGATAGGTCTTTTCAAATTAATTAGTTATTTGGTGATGAAATTGGTTAATTTCAGGTAATTAAACAAATAAGCTTGAAAGGTCCTGTGCTGTTCGCCTGTTATGCATGATGTGTTTGGTCGTGATTGGATGATTGTTGGGCATCGATCCATGGAGTTGGAACAGAAAATGTTGCAGATCATGATTGTTCGGCAGCCTAAGTGAGATTGCGATTATACTTCTTGCTGTCTTTGAATAAGCGCATTGTTGCGGGGCTTGTGCGCTAACTGTCCATTTAAACCGACGTGGATGATCGATAAGATATGTAGGTTAATTAAAAGCATGTCCGGCTGTTAAAAAGATTTTTTATCATATTTTTATTCTGCACAGATCAAAGAAAGTACAAAATACTGCAAATTATCTTTATGGCGTTTCATTTGGTGCAGAGTTTGTTTTAAGTTCGATATTTGCTCTATTTTGTGTGATAAGGTACATCCAAATCCAGCATAAATTCTATGAGCGGTACCTTCATACACATCAACAACGACTTCTTGTAAATTTGTGCACAGTTTCTGGTGCAAAAGTAGCATCGGATAGACCAAAACTGTGAAACTGTCATTTCCTGATGAAACCATGCTGAGAAATCGCAAACACAAAGTTTCGTCATCGAAATAAAAGTGGGAGCGAAATGCCAGCTCAATGATATTCGGTCTGTTTTTCAAGATACTTGGTGTAATACTTTTCATATTCATTATATTCATAATATTCCTATGGATAAAGGTTAAGGAGTTCCCGCTTGTGATCAAATCGAAGGATAAGAGCCTACCATTTGCGATAGGTGAGGACAGCAAGGGTGGTGAAGAGGGCGGTGGCGGTGAGGGTGGCGAAGGTGGCGGTGATGCTGGCAAGGGCGAAGAAGGCAAAGAAGGCGAAGAAAAAAATGGTCTTAAGGGGCCAAATGGCAGAAGCATGGCAAATAATATGAACATGTTCAATAACTATTCTGCGCGAAACTATGGAAGTATGGCATATCCGGCATCCAATGCTAAGGATGCTAGTACGAGTGCCTTACTTGGCAGCTCAGAAAAAGGCAGACAGCAGGAAGCGAACAACAAGGATATCACAAGCAATTATCTTGCTGCACAACCAAGAAATGTTGGGAACAAGCTCATGAATAACAATAATCTTGTTGGTGATCCGGCAGAGTACAACAATATGAACAATTACCTGTACAACCCGATGGGCGTGTATGATAATTTGTATAGCGCGCCTCAGCCCGGTAGCAATTACCTGATGAATTACGGACCGGGCGTAAATGGGTCTGAGCTGATGAATCTTTATGGACAGGATGGAAGGATGGACGCATCGTTTAATCCTAATAATGCCAATTTAGCCGATAAAAAGAAGAAAAA